CTTTTGCAAAGCTTAAAATATTCTTTAGAGGGAAGTCATATAATTGCTCAAAAAAAGAAACTTCCACAATAGTTAATCGGCGTCGCGTATGCGCTAGGCAATAACAAAGCAAATGTGAGGCACTTTTATCGATCTCTTCAACAGAAATGATTAAACGAGAGATTCAATCTTCTAACATGGTTCACTAATCAATTGTAATCTAGCAAGAAACTTACCATAAGACTAATGTCTTCACGAGACATAAAGATACCTACATATCATTAAGTCCATAAATTATTAAATTACTTAGCGCGGAAAGACTTCAACAAATGTTTACATGATATCAACGATATGCCCAGATTTTTTAGTAGGGCTGAGTGATTAATTGAAGCACCCCGTCTGACTAGCTCGTCTACCTTACAGTTGCCAAAAATTACTGAATGACCGGGTACACATAGTAAAGGAATATTAAACTGCGTAAACATTTTATTTAAAGATGTGTAACAATCAAAAACTGAACTGGACTCAATTGGAATGAACTCAAGGAACTCAAGACAGTTTGACATACTTGTCTGATAGTATGTATATATTCCTATTTAATATATTGTCGAGTTGCAGACAAGCTATAACATAGCTTCCCTTATAGCAATATGATTAAATGCCGTCATAAATTTTCAAACATATGATATTTTTTCCGATTTTTGTATTTTTCTCAGTGAAATTTTAATGGGAATATTTTTATTTAATATAAATTTATCTAGCAGAACAAACCAAATATCATAACAGAGAAGCTGGCACATTATTTTTTATTGTTGATATTTATAACTCTGTGTTTACCTTACTTTACCTTTCTGGAAACCTTTTGATCCAGCATAATCAAGCTATTTTTTATGTGTTGATTTTATCCTTCAAGTTATATTTTTTAATATCTTTTTTTCAACAACTTCGGTTTTTTTTGTTATTTTTTTCTTAACAGAATTTATGGCTGCAATTTTTTCCTTTTCTGCTTAATAGAAAAATACTTGTTTTAATTTTTTATTAAGCAGTACTTTAAAGTCATGGCTTAAATCCTCCGAATATTCTGCCATTCTGTGAAAGTTATTATTTACAGCCATTTTATACGATCTACAAATTCCTTAATTCAAAACTTTCTGATTTATCTTTGCGGGGTTTCCATATTCTTTTAAACCATAAAGGCAAGAATTTTCTTCATTTTCTTTAATTTTAATATAAAAATATTTTTATTTATATTATTAAAGTGCTGAGTTCATAAAATATTGGTGAGCACTTTTTATATTTTGATTAACTTTTATAAAGAAAACAGCAGGACAGCAGCAATTAACTTGTTTAATGAATGTAATTACTCTATTAATTATAATGAAAATGTTCTTAATTAAGGACATTTTGTCTCACAAATTTATACTTATTTTTGTATACATAAATGAAGATATAAATATAAATGTGTATTTATCCTTGCAAAATAAAACGCGACTATTGAGCTGAGCAGTAACGCACATGCCAATAACGATGCCAACTGTGCAATCTTAATGAAAAGCAAGTACTGAAATGAGGAAAATTAATTGACTTACGGCTTAACTAACTGGAAAATAGAATCACTCAAACATAATTAACATTGAATAAATGTTATTACTTTATAAAATTCAAATTATTTTAAATATTTTTTAAACTGAAAGCAGCTGCAATAAATCTCATCTTTTAAAAATTTTGCTTTCCGTTTATGAAAACTGATAAAAATTTAATTCTCGTATAAAGCTTTAAAGATAACAAGGCGCTTGAATTAGATGCGAATATAAGACGGTATACTTAATAAGCACTTAATTAGATTAATTAATGATTAATTTTTATTAAAGGTTTCTTTTTTAAATAATTCCAATAGATTTTATACAATGCAGAATATTTCGTATTAACAAACTTTAAGTTAAGTTAAAGTTAAAGAGGTTGTTTAGAACAGTAGTGAACTACAACAACAAAAATTAATTTTATATTATTTTAATAAATTGAACTTGGAAATATTTCTTGTATTTAATTATTCCTAAATAATTTTTTGTTTTTGAGACTGCAGGTACCAAGAATAGAATTCGTGTCCTGCCAAATTTGAAGCTCGGAGTCAACGCTGATCCTGAACCAACTGACCCAAAGCCGTACTTGACTTTTATGTTCGCACATTTTTCTGGAGTTTTGTTGATTTGTTGTGAAAGTTTTAACAAATTCACTTAAAATTAAAAAGTCAACGATGGGTAGGCATCTGTATGCAATTTGGCCATTTTCCACCTAAAATAAATTAAATACTCCCATAGAGATGGCCCACAGATCTCAGATATCAGTCTTTTGGTAGGTTTTTTTACAAGTTATTGTAGATTAGGAAACCATACCATGTCCTCACCAGCTGTGGAGAGGACGATAAAAGTGCCTTTCATCTACTCTGTTTTTGCCCAGCTCATGCACGAAGATGATTAAACATTTTACGGAACCCCTTCCTTGAGGATCTTGAACAATCACTAGATCTCCCACTAAATAGCATTTTACGTTTCGCCAAAGGTACTAGTGGTTTTAAACCCTGTTTGTGTCACTACACGATAACACAATTGGCCAATAGACTTCATTGAATTCCCTAGAAATTGCCGGTATAACCTAATTTAATAAACTTAAACCCCAAAAGATAATTCTTAGGTCTGAGAAATTAAAAAAGTCGTGGATAGGGGTCATTTTTTAACATTGATGGAGATTCAAAGTTCTGTAGAATAGCATATTCGAAACGACTTTAAGTTAAAAAACTATTATAATATACTTTTATGCTTTATTGAGTTATACAGTAATGGTGATACATAACTAAATTTTTTGGAAAATGGATGATTTTTGCAGAACATTTTTTTTGAAAGTGTTGGCATATTTTTTTGCTTACTTTTCATATACCAATACCTTAATATCTTGTGGCTATTTTCGGTGAAAAAGTTTTCTCATTATCTTTTTTTTAAGCCAGCTTTCTACTACTTTTTTTTTCAACAAAAACGCACAAATTCCTCAGTGCTCATGAGTTCTAACGATTGAATTTCTGCAATTCTGTCTAAAAAACCAATAGATACTTCGCTTTAAATGACGATGAAAGGAGACGGCATGTAATTAAAGGAAAATTTTTTCAACGTAAATGGTCGTAAGATAATGAGGTAACGACATACGAAGAAAAAGGCGAGAAAAAAATTTTATCGATTTTGAGATAAATGACATTTTTCAAATATTAAAGGGGAACCTATGTACAGTACTTATATAAAGCATATCCTACCGTCAAATGAGATGAAAAAAATGTTAAATCTCAAAATGCAAGGGAACAGACTACAAACTTGTCTAAATTTTTGTTTTAACAGATTTAAGGTTGGCTAGAAAGTTGTAAAGGAACATGCAAACATTTTCAAGAATTAAATTAACTTGGATATTCCAAGTATACAAAGTATAAGAAATTTGGGATACTTTTTTAACAAAAACTTTTTAGTTAAAAAATTATATATTTATATAAGTAAATAATTTTAAAATTATATTATTGAAAGATCCGCGAAATGTCAGTGAATAAGTTCGTTATTCATGCTGGGTTACTTAAATTTTAAGAAAGCACTTACAGACACATTTTATCATCTCAATTAAATAAGTCATGTTCGTCGGTATGTCGGTTTCTATTTCATTATATTTGTCTGCCTGTCAATCTATCTATCTGACTACCGATCAGATTAAAAAACTTGAATATAAGATTAGGTAACTCCTTTTTATGCCTAATCTTTACTAATTGTCTTGCAATTTTTTGAAAACAAATTGCTTAAATGAAATAGAGGTAAAAAAAAAATAGTTCAGGTCACTAGAAACCAATTATTTTTAATATTCATATTTCACTTCTGTTCACGTTGACTGTTCTTACAAGAGTATTCAGTTTTGTACTCCTAGACGTCGTCCTTTAACTACACTGGAGTTATCCCCAGTGCCAATTAAAGTCATACTCATCGTTTATTTTAATACTTTTATCAATGCTACTGATAAATAGTTTAGAGAGAAACGAAACTAGATCCCTGCCTAATACTAAAGTATTTCTAAATATATATTTTTTTAAGTTTGTACTTTTAAGACGTCGTCCTTTAACTACACAAGAGTTATCCCCAGTGCTAATCAAAGTCATCGTTTACTTTAATACTTTTGCCAATGCTTCTCTTGAATACTTTAGAGAGAAACCAGATCACATACTTGTCTAATGCCAAGGTATTTCTTAATATTTATTTTTTACGTTTATTTCCTTCAATATGAAGTCCTCTTTCACTGCATTTCCTTCTTATTTTTTTTCGTACTTCATAGAACCTTGAAAGATTTGTTATATTCATTCGCTAATGGATATTTTTTTCACTTACGCTTTTATAGTTTTTGATGAGAAAATTTAATAGGAGTTTTTACTTTTATTTTTTACCGGACACTTCTTTTGTAGAATTCTTAATAAAAAAATATTTAGAATTTTGTGGTTTTAAGACAAATAACCACATTGTTGTGTTTCGTAACAATAAAAAGTGAATATATTCTTTATTGATTTGAAAAAAAAGAAATCTTACTCAAGAAAATTGCTCACAAATTCTAAAGGAAAAATATTTATTTGAACAATTAAAGTCAACAACTTTTTGTTATGAAAATACTAATAAACGATAATGTGCAGTTTTTCTTGGACAAATGAGTTTCAAAAAGCGAAATTGTAAATGTCATAAATTTCAAAACTTTCTCCTTAATTTCACACTAATTCCACACTAAATCCAAAATTGCAGCGATAACTTTTTGTGCAATAAAGTGGAGTAACTTATGCAATTAAAGACAGATTCCGTTCGCCTTCGACTTGAACTACATTGTTTCAATTAAGTACCAGATATTTCAGTTGTGCACTTGCTTCTGCAATTACATAAGTTCCATGTCTGAAACTCGAAAATTTCTTATATATTTTGATAAAAGATAGTTTTTATGTTCAATTTCTTGCAGACCTTGTGACCGTAATTTGCGCGATGCTGAATTAATATCCTGTCGATTACGACGCGTGGAGCCACTCTGTCGCCTGCCTGGCTCAGCGCTGCAGCAATTGGCTATGTGTGGGTTTTACGAAGACTTGGAGAAGGGCGTCACACGTAAGTGCACTTCTAATGGAAGCCAAAACTAAATACAAAAAAAAACAAAATTTAAATTCATTTGCCAAAATTATAAATTTGTTTCAATATAAGCTTTATTCGCTCTCGCAATGTTTACGTTTGTTTGAGTTTTGTGCAGTTTTGGCAGACGGACTTGTTTATATTGTAAACACCTTTGGCTATTTGCCTAAAATTACGCTTAAATAATTTTGAAATATTTTCGAAAGATGTTCCATATTTTGTTGATTGGTCAAGATACAAATGAGCAATTTAATTTTTTTGATTTTTGGTGTACAGTTTTTCGTGCTGGCGAACAAGGACGATTCTGGTATGCTGTTCTAGGCGGTTCTTTGGAAGTGAGATATCATGCACCTGATACTGATGGCAAGGTAAGTCTTTTAATTTTATTCAATAAAATGTATACTATAAAATAAAATAAGTACAGAGATAAAAATTCTTTAATTCTAAGCAAACCTATTAATTTAGTATCTTTGGCCATTGGTATTGGTTAACCACGGTAAATCTATGGCATGCGTGCCACAAGTAGAAATTTTTGTTCTACGTAAGTTGTTCTCATTTGTAGAGTACATAGGGTCATGTGATCAAAATGTGACGACTCTATATATATACAATATATTGCTACCATATCACTGCGATGAGACGTGTGTTCTATCTTCGACCACTATTCCCGAGAAAGTTCACTTTATATAAAATATCATAAACAAATTAGCTATTACGCAATACTTTACTGGTTTTTTTAATTTTTTTTATTTTCCTTAATAATTCTCCTAAGGAGTTTAGAGATTTTCTCTTAATCCTTCATATTTCGTTTTGTACCCAAATGATATGTCGGATCATCTTGTTTCAGTTATCTTCTGATATCATCATATACCGTATTATATGTTTTGGTCCTAATAAGAATCTTGATTTTCATCTAGAAAAAATGCGTCCAATATTGTAAAATGTAGATATGAGTACAGAATGTGATGAAAGAGTATTGTAGATTTGCAAATTGCCCACGCTTAATATTCATAAAGTACATTGTTTCGAAGTCATTTTTTGTGTATTGATTGCATTGCAAGAAATATAAATGCTAACTATTAAATGTAGCATCAGAGAGGTTATGTGAAATTTGGTAATAAAAATAGAATTAACTACCATTCAGCAAAGGTTTTCGTAACTTACTATATCATAACAATTAGTTTATGAATACAACAAACGCTTTCAGGAAGCTTATAGAAATATCTGCAGAACAGAAATAAAAAAATCTTTAGAACAAAAATTTTCTTTCAAAATACACATCGAAATTTTAATTTTTTATCTTTGATTTAGATTCATTATAAAATTTTATTAATATACTAAAATTTTCGCGATAGCTTTTTTTTAGTTTGTTCAAAACTTTTTTTTGTACCTTACTTGGTATAAAACCGCATTTCATACCAATTTAAAGACATTTTGTAAAGGTGTAACAAAAATTATAATATTTTATATCTGATTCATGATTTTCAAAATGATCTTAGTTGAAAAAGTATTTCTTGAAAATAAATCTTCTAATAAACAGGGGTATTTTCATTTTAAAAAAAGAATATCATATAAAAATTCTGCCAAATTGGAGGTTATGTCTTTCAGTCCTAGTGGATCATTTGCATAGCTCACTGCCGTGCAAATATATAACACATATTCTAATACTAATTCACATGGTTAATTCAATTTATCCTATCAAGCAGTAAAATTTTTAATATATAAAGTTTAAAGCTCTCCATTTTCTCCCTCATTCCGGTACTAATGCTTTGTCAAACTTAACATGGGCTCTTGTTGTGTGAAGGGTATAAAATCGTTTTTTTTTTCAAATTAGTAAACAAAAAAAAAGTCACAGCATGTAACGTTGGAAATTTATATTATTTATGAGTGTAAAAAACTTATTTGGCTTGCATTTTAAATAGATTTTTTTGCTTAAAATAATTGCAAAAATAAATTGCAAAATTGACATTGAAGTGCAGTTAAGCTCCATATTAAATGTAGTCAATAAATGACAACAATAACAAATTAAACTTACAAGTCTGCAACTATCAAGTAAAATCGAGTGAAATAAAAAAAAATACTGAAATTAATATCTGAAATTTGTGCGAAATGAAATTCATTCTCGCAATAAGAGCAGCCAAAGAGCAGCGAGGAGTGAGTGCATAACGACAAGCACCGCGAAACCAACCTACTTATGTACGCTACATCCAGCGCATATTAAATGCTTAAAACTATGCCAGACTGGGAGCTGAGCTTAGCGACGTGTAGTGGGGCATGCATATCGTCGGAGCCAAGCACGCTGCTACTGTTCACTTCAAGAGTTCAATTTATATGCAAATACCGTTGTGTCATCAGCAGTGTATTTACATCATAACAGCCAATAACGACGCATCTATGAACATAAAACACTAAAATATGACAACAATAAGCACGGCAATAGCGCAACAACAATTTTAGTGCAATAAAGACATCAACAATAAAAAACCGAAAATGAAACTAAGTAAAAAAATTCAATTGCAAATTTTATTGTTATTTATGCGCCACCGCTGTTTGTGTTTCCTTTCCTACGTCCGTACGTCTGTTCGTCGGTACGTTGGTACGTTTGCGGAATTTCGCTTTGCGAAGTTGCGAAATTTTTTGTTCTCATTTTTCTGTTTTGCAAATGAAATAAGCTTTGCAAACCAAAAACGGATGCGGAACTTTATACCAAATGAATGCACAGATGAAAGCCAAAGTGTGGCAACGACGTGTTTCATGTCAATTACGTACTCATTGACGATCGTTGTTAATTCTAGTGAATTTATGCGTGTGTAAGTGTGTGAGTGCGGGTTTCTGACTGACTACTTCCATTGGAATTTATGCTAAACCCAACACACATGCACATGCCAACTGCAATTGATCAAAAATGATGTGTTTATTACGTTTTTGTCGTGTAATTTGCATCGCAGTCGTTTCATTTTTTTTGGCTTTGTTATTGATACAATACAAATGTTTAGCCGGAATACTAAGCACAATAAATATTTGAGAAGACCTTGTTGAGAAAAAGTATGAAAGTCAATATAATGTTTTGTAAGCAAATTCATGGATCATAAGGAAGCTCTTTTTGGAAAAATGAATTTAAATAATAAAATACGATAAAGCAATGCTGGGACTTTTAATATAACTAAAAAAAATTATTAATAAAAAAAATTGTATACGTATGTTCTATATTTTTCTAGTAAGTATTAATTATTAAATAATCTAAAGTAAACTCTTCGGCAACATAAAAATGTCATCACTCTAGGTATAGCCTCTTCGATAGAAACGTTCTTCACAACATCTTTGGTCCTGTATGAGTTGCCGATGACTACCACAACCAAATGAATCTAGAGCTGTATGAGCTTTAACACGGCATTGATCCAATGGGAGCTGGGTCATGTTGTTAAATGGGATGATGATGCTCTAGCTAAAAGGTTTTTTTTTTATAATTTATTTCTTTAATATCAATCTGTCACTTAAGAATAGACAAAGTACTATATTGAAGTGGCTAAATACTTAAAATTATTGTGGGCTTAAATGGATTGTGCTTAGTAGCACGCCCATCTGTTAAAGTGAGTCACAAAGAAAAAAAAAGATATTTGAAACGGTAGTTATAGTAAGGAGCTGTAGATACAGACCGTGTCTCCGGTGGAGTGTTCAAGTTGAGAGTGTACTTACCGTAATAAATGTATTAGACTGGAGAAGACGAACTCGCAGCAGATGCGTCTGGAGAGGACTGCTGCATAAGACCAAAAGCAGGTAACGGGTTATTAAGATAAATTAAGTAAATAGATGAAAAATATACTTTAAGAAAATGTAGTTGTTTTATGCGATAGTACTCTTGATCGTATTTAATTATAGCAACTTTTCTTATATCTATTTAAAAAAAAAATAGTTCAATCCATTATTAATGTTGTATGATAAATTTAATTGAAAATACCAACGAGAAAATACCAAAATACTACCTATATAAATAATCAAATCAACCATATTAGGGCAATCCACTACGGAACCTGCAAACTAGTATATCTAACGGATATCCAATCTATAGAACTTTAAAGAATAATTACATTTATGCACAGATCAGTTCTCAAAATTTATTTTTTTTCATGTGTGTGCTACTTTATACGAATAGCACATTCTTTCGTAATTATATTAGCCAAGCCAAACCATATTAGAAGCTAAGAGGAAAAGTAGAAAATAAAGACTTCAAAACTCTTGATAACTCAATCAAACACAAAGATTTTTAAAAGTCTATATATATACTTGCTTAGGAATAATTTTATAAATTATATATATGATAACAACAACTAAGTAGATAGATTTACAAACTTTCAGTTATAATTAATTAAGACATATTGTTTAGAAATAATCTCATAAAAAAATTATAAATAAATTGATTCACGAAACTCTAAGAAGAATTTGTTTAGTGATGACGATAGCACTCCTAAGATATTAAGGTAAAATAACATAAAGGAGTTCTAATATGAAATTGTTATCTTACCTTCAAAATAATATGTACTATTCTTCTACTATAGGAATTATATTAGGCTATGTTTCCCATCCTGATTCTACCGAATATGAACTAAGAGATATTAAAAACAGCAATCTTTTAAGTCTTATATATTTTATGTTAAATGCATTATTAAAAATTTCAATATATTACAAAGAATAATGAAAAATAATTGTTTATTAACTGTTTTTTTTTTTTTTGGGGGTATGAGACTCAATTAATATATTAATAGATCAATAACTGTTACTATAACGATTTCTATGTCACCATATTCAACATGTAGTATTATTTCTTATTAAATGAGATACAATTTGAGTAATACAATATAATTCTAAAGATGTTAAACGAAGCATCAAACTGCTATCTAAAGCACGTTTTAATATTTTGTTCTTAATTTACAAGTATAAATTATACTGTTCTTTCCAAATATAGATGGTTTAAATGATATTATATCATATGAGTTATATAATATCTATTTAATTATTAATATTAACATTTAGAACTTATTTTATTTTTGTGAGGTTCTCTAATAATTTCTCCAACTTTTATATGATATTCTATATATATTATTCTTTTAAATATATAGACTTAAATCTTTTTTAAATAAAACAAGTTCTGTTGCAGAGCGAATCATGAAACCGTAGTAATGAAAATCCGACGAATTCAGGAACTTAGTAGAAAAATTAACACTTTCATTTCCATCGGTGACTATATCCACTAATTTAATTAATATTAGTTTTTTTGTCAATAGTGTTTCAATTTTTAATATTGATGGGAGCAACATAATTATTATAATATAGCCTTTTTCTTAACCAAGGCGGGTTTACGTAGTAGTCA